TCCAACAGTCAGTAAACTGTGATCACAGCATCCTATGTCTCTCAATCTATGAATATACTGGCAGTAAACTAAGAACCAATACATACAACAGTATGGAGAGTCTCAGCTAGATAGAAACAACAGATTTCAGAGCTTAATATTCTGAGCAATATTCTATCTCACCCCCTAAATTAACTGCAGACTTGACCAGAAAGAATTAAAGGGCTAATCAAAATTGGTTGGTGTCCACCAAAAGAACCCCATAGAGTTTTCTATGGCAGATATTTAAATGTAATGATGTTTAATATAGTGTGATTCTGTCCTAAATAGCTCAGTACATCGAAGGGAAAGAGTTCCCTATGAGCAATATTATAGTTGCCTTTGTACCTCGATCAGCAAAGAGTTATGCTCCAATGATAGAATTTTGCCAAATAATTTTTTAAAAGAAAAACTAACAATGCAGCCTAGTATAGTAGGAAAAATGCTGGATTTGGAGCCAGAGTTCATAGATTCAAATTCTGGCTCTATCACTTGACCTGGTTCTACCAGAGTAAACTTTGGTAGTCACTTAGGTTCTCTAGCCCTCAGTTTCCCCATCTGTAAAATGAAGGAGAAGAAGTGGACTAGGTGATCTCTAAGGTACATTACAATTCTTAATCTATGAATGTGATGTGGTCTAGGGGCACCAGGAAACCCCAAAATGCAAGGGTACAGGCCAGGTCTGCCTCGAAAGAATTTGACCACTGGAGCCTTCTTTCAGTCCAATTAGGGCATTTATCATGAACAACCAACTGGGTGGGCGAGATTCCTAGTGAGTCTTGCTTAGTTGGGGTGAGAACGATACTTTCATACAGAGAAACAGGAAAAGGGTCAGTGAAAAGATCTTGATGGGTTTAAGGAATAGCAAGTAGCCTGGGGTGGTCCAGAGGCAACAAAGAGTGAAAGGCTGGGCTGGGTCAGAGGGTCTCAAAGAAGGGACAGTTGAAAGGATTATACTGGGATGGGCTGGATGCCTCAGGTGAACACCAGAGACTGGGCTCCTAAAATCTGTGGGAAAGTTCAAGGACAGACTATCTTTCCCTTGTCCAGGTCCCCCCATCAAATCTATATAGGATAACAAAAAAATGCAAATTCCTATTTTATACACAAAAGCATCTACAACTATAATCTTTCAATGGCTTCTTGAAAACATTTCACATTACCCAGATCATTTTTACATATAATTTTTGTTTTCACATTTTAGTGCTAGAAAGATTTCTGAAGACAATAATTTAACTTTCAAAAAAAATTACAGCCAACCCTCAACTTTTATCAACTTAGCCTTAAAGCATTCAGTCAATTACAAGGATGCTATTAGTGCCACTCATGGCGAGACAGAAAATACACAGCACGACTGGTCTGTTTATTGGTCTATCAGAAGGAATTAGACACTATACAGTGCACTGCATTCCAGGCCTCAGAAGGTCTCTTCAAATGCTGCATGGCTTCTGTCCCATGTTCCCTAGCTCTTAGGCTTGGGTAAAACCCCTACTGGGATAGAGAAAAAACCTAGGTGGGGAACCCTCTGCATCCTGGCCTCAATCATAACCCTATAAGCCAAAGTCCCCAGATTGCTTCCTCAAGGTTCTGTAATTTCTATCTGCCAACTACAGTCCCTTCATGAAAAACTTCAAATAAAATTCAAATAAATATTGTGATTTTTCCTTCACACTTGAGTGTCAGGCATTACATTGGCTTGTGTAAATGTATTTATTTCATTCAATGATACAATTATCTACTTAGAACTTTATGTTACACAACTATATTACACATATAGTTTCTTAAAATGTTTGTGGTCTCTCTTTTTTTTTTAAGACTGGACATGTGATTTCATCAATATAGGGGAGTGCCCAGCGAGGATCTGAAATAGGATACTTTCTCTAAAGCCCAAGGGCCTGATAATAATAATAGTCAACAGATAACATTTACATAGCTTACATTTGTAAAGCATTTTACATATGAAATAGCCCCTGAAGGTTAATACCATTCCCTTTCCCCCTCCCCCAACTCAACTTGGTAGCCTTAATCAAGGCTTGAGCCACAAGAGGGTGGTCACTGCTTCAGGTTCTGGAAGTGACCCTAAGGGTCTGCTCCCCTCCATAGCCAACTCATTTCCCGGCTGCCAGTGGCCTGTTTTTTTAAATCTATCTCCCAGTCTCTTTGTATTGTCTGTCTACTAAGGAAAAGAAAAAAAGGAAACAGAATGAACATTTATATGGTGCCTGCTATAGGCTAGGGACCAGAGGTTACATGACTTACCCAGAGTCACACAGCTAATAAGTATCTAAGGCCAAACTGAACTCAGGTCTTCCTAACTTCAGGCCCAGAGCCCTATCCACTGAGCCACCTGGCTTGCTGCCCCTATCCAAAGTATCTCTGCTCCCAGTCCTACCACTCCACTTCGAAGCAACACAATCAGTGGTCAGGGGAGAGACAGTAAAGGTGGGGTGAAGGCAGGATTGGAGAGAGGCAAGCCATTGCCTCCTCTTCCCTTTCAGAGATCTCCTCCAAAGGCAGCTCCAAGCTGGCAATGCTCCAGATCCCTTGAACTGCCAAAATTTGACCAATATTTAGCTACTTAAAGCCCCCAAGGACATGGGCTTTTTTTATTTGTGCAGCCAGTCCATATGTTCTCATCTTGACTTAATCTGAGAAATGTTCAGCACTCTGGACAAGTCCTTGAACCTGACTCAACCAGTTTCCTCATCTGTAAAATGGGGATAATAACAGCACCTCTCTAACAGGATTGTTGTGAGGATCAAATGCTAGCTATCATCACTATGAATATTATTATTAACGATAATATATAATGATAATAACATGGTGTGGGTCCATTTTTAAAGTTAGTTTCACATCTCATTAACACTTTTTGATTACATTATGGAATTTGGGGGCAAGGAAATTAGTCAAAAACCAAACCCTCTCTACATATCTCACTGAGAGGTAGGTTAAGTGACTTTCCTATTATGATACAGCTAGTGTATGTATGAACTGATACAGGCTGGGAAACCTAAGGCTTCCTAATTCTAAGGCAGGACTATACCACACTGACTATCTATGATACTATCTATGTACCCTGGAAATTATTTTGATTCTACAAATGAGGATTTCAAATATGGGCCCCTGCCTACAGAAGATTTCTTGGAGCCACAGTGGTTGGCCCACAAGAGACACTCATCATGATGTTTCTTAGTTGACTGGGTCTGACACTTCACTCTGCAAGTCTGACCCAATCTAGCAGGAGCAGAGAAGGCACCTTAGAAGTCTCGTAGTCTTCCAAAGCAGCCATCTTTGTCAAAATAAGGCAAATTAAAAAACAAAAATCCACGGCAAAATGCTGTCTGAAGCTGTTTCTCTCCACTACATAGAAGAGACATGAAAGTCATTGATCTATATATACAGTACACACACTTTTAAATCCATGTATATAAATCAGACGAAAATGCTTTCTTTAAGGCAAGCATGTGAAGATGCTAAAGCAAGATGCCAATTAAATATTCATACGTTCAATATTTCAAAATAAGGAATTTGGATATACACATGCATAATTTACAGTTCTATAGTGAAACCTGTCTACAGAGACCATTTTCACTGTATTTCAATTGCATCCCAACTTGGGCTGCACAATGCAGCTTTGCTCTCCAATGTTAAAACTTTAAAGTGCACAGTACTTCGCCTCAAGCAAACAGAATAAAGAGCATGTTGGGCACATGACATTCTCCTACACAAACTGAAGTCAGAGCATTTTCAGGGTGTTCTCCCCCCTGCACCACTTTGGGGAGTGGGATCAGATGAAAGAGGAAATGAACTCACTGGCAAAAGCAGTAACTCGGCAAAAAGATCCACATGGTGAAGTCGGAAGAGCTACAACTTAAAGATGTCCATGGCTAGCCTACATTTGTATATATTCCTTGCCATTCATTCCAGTAAGATAAAAGAACATGACCTCTACAGTCCTAGGGAGCATACGAAGTGATCTAAACAAAAGTCATTAGGACTACTTAAGCATCCTGTGTCACATATGTTTTTAAATAGTTGAATCTATTCAAACATGAGGCTTCCCCCACTCCCCCAAATACATACATAATAGACTTTGGGGCTTTTTAAAAAAAATAATCCCTAAACCACTCAAGACTTACATACCAAAGGCTCAAATATCTCCTCAGTACTCCACAGTGTGGACACAGCAAGAACCAAAAAACAGGCCTTGGGTGTTTAAACTTCCTTCCCAAATGGTAGATGTGTCATTTGTATATGGCTGCATAATGATGTGCATATACTGGACCACTGGTAAAACCTGAACAGGTATACATTCCTAGCTAAACTAAACATAACTAAAATTTTATCAGCACTGTAAATCACTCAATAAAAAAAAATCTATGGGCATTGCAATGAATATACTTTTGCCTTAGAGCTAATACTTTAATTTTTAAGAACCAGAAAGAAAAAAATCAAAACTAGTCAGTAACAATGCAGCGTCTAAAAGCAATAAACTCAAAATTAAGTTATAAATAATTTAAAGCATGTCATGAAGATGTATTAATAATTCATCAGATAAATAATTTACTAAATAATCAAATAAATAAATAATGAAATACATAAATAAATCAGCAAATAAATAATTCTGCAAAATAACCTAAACAATAAGTCACCAAAACAAATGACAACCTGCAAAACTACAATGATTTTCTAAATTCTGATAGTTTTAAATAAGCAAATGTATATTAAACTAAATCAATCCTTGTTAGATACAGGAATATTTTTCACTGCTATTGGTGAAATCCTTATTGGACTAAGAACATATTTTCAAATTTTTCAAGAATGCATGAGTATTTCTTGTAAATTATTAAGTATAACTGTTAAAATACATCCTTCTCTGTATTACACAAAGCTATCTCTATTAACAAATTTTCCTCCGAAATAAATGGACATCCTCTTTACAAGATCTTTAATTCACTTTTTCTACCCAGAGTAGTACTTACAGTACAATAGTGTTTTAGCCTTTTGGGTTGTTTTCTATCTTCTCCAAATCTTTAGAAGCTTTGCTGCAGGGAAAGAACAAACAGAATAACCTTAATTATTACAGATGGCATCTCATTCATTAGTGGATGACATTTTTTTTGAAAGCACAAGAAAATCTGTTTTATAATTCTACAAAGCAACTTAATGTGAAACAACCATTACTACTTGCAAACTACCTAAAGTTTTAGAAGTCTTTGGTGGAACGAGTTCAAGCAGATTGAGGCCTGCTTCTTGTATTTAAACTGACACACAATCTGTGCAACTGGCAGTATTTCAGATGAGAAGACAAAAACTGAGAAGGACAAAATGTTTGGCTGACATCTAATGTTATCCTTGGTTTTAGAAGCCCAAAGTCCTTGAAAGAATATAGTGAGATCACTTAATTTCTACAATCTGAATACACTCACAATGTAATTAGAACTCTATACTTCAAATTCAATAACAACACCAAAAGGGGTCAAAAAACCAATGACTCCATAAAGCAACCTTCATTCTGAATTGATTTTAATATATTATAATAGTACTCATTATATTTTTCTTGAAATCTATAGGGATACTGCTTTCTGAAAGCCAGGTCAGAACACAAAATGGGGTTTATTTATACATTTAATGTGCATAAAATGTCTGTTTCAACACATTATCTGTGAATTTGGTAGTATGATTATTCCTCTCACCAATGCAGATTACAATCTCTTCATGATTTAGCTGAAGATCTTCTAAGCTGCGTTGCTGAAAAATTCATCACCTAGTAAACATGCTAACCTAAGATGACCATGTCTGAATTTAACTAGGTTGATTCACACTTAGAAAACAGACACATAGTCCACTACCAGAGCTCTTCTGCCCAAAGTCTTTCCAGATTTCATTTTTGCCTTTTATCTTCAGTGCCTTGCTCAGTGTCTGGGAGGTACTTTATAAATGATCCTTGATCAAGTGACATGACAGAGCTTACCTTTTATGAGCACAGCTTTCAAGAAGCCAGAGACACTTCTCTGCAAGAAACAGAGAGAGTAGGACTTTAAGGGAAATACGCACTTAAGGAAAGCATAAAGATATAAACTTTCATTTTCCTATATTGTTTTAAATCTAACATTAGCATCAACATCAGAATTACTCTAATATCTAAGAAATTATCTCTGTGATAATCATAAGAAAAGAGCAACCCAAATACAGACTGGCAAGCTCAGTTCTGATCTTAACACCCCCAGCAAATGCCTAGAAAAAATTTCACATTTAAGTAACCGAGTTAAGTTACTCTATCTTTTTTGACTGAACTAGTAAACTGTACTGCAACAATAGTAAACACAAAAAGCAGTTCTCAATCTCAATCTCCTTCCCAAGATTGCCAAAAACTTCAGGTTAAATTAACTCAGTGTTTTTGAGTTTAGAAATCTGTTTTATTTTAAAATAATTTTGTTGCTCTGAAAATCCATTTACAAAATTCTAATTTAACATTCTGGCAATTCACATCAGATTACACCAGGTTTTAGTCAGATCAGTGTTGGATATAAAGTCAGGTTATCTACATGTCATTATCTACATGTATCTATATATATGTATATAGTCAAGTTAAATGGACAACTTTCTTTTAAAAGTGTTCATTAAATCTGTGAATAAGAAGTTAATTTCTCTGGCTCTCAAGGTTCACTGGCTTTCCAGGTCACATGATTGCCAAATGGAAGATCAGACATTTTCTCAAGTACTAATGAACTCTTAAAACTTCCCCAAAATCAGAATTATGCCCATTGAGGCCATCTCTGCAAGCCAAGACAAGAAGACGACAAGGGAACAACCTGAAGACTGAATAGCAGAGTAGGCTAACCCCTAACTTTAAAAAGTTCCCTCAATACCTCCTCCTCTACCAGGTGTCAAGCTATGTGGGGCTGCACAGCCCAACCTAAACCACTCACTATTTTCTTGCTGCTGCTGGGGCAGTATCTGCCAGTATCCTCTGTCTCTGCCCTCACACCATCATTCTGTAGCAACCATCAGCCAATCCCAATTCAGCCCATTTCCTAATGGAAGAAAGGATGACAGAGTAAAGGGACAGTGTGACCTGCCAGGGCAATCGGTCAATAGTCAGTCAATTGGTAAGGGCTTACCAGGTTTCAGACACTTTTTAAATGCTGGGGATGCAAAAAAAAAAAAGGGGGGGGCAAAAAACAGTCTGTCCTCAGAGGAGCTTACAAATCTAATGAGGGAGACAACATGTAAACAATTATATACAAAGCAAACTGTATACAAAATAAATGGGAAATGATTAACAGAGAGAAGACACTAGAATTAAAAGGAAATAAAGGAAAGCTTCCAGTAAAAGAAGAAAGTTTAGTTGGGACTTAACCGAAGCTAGGGAAGAGTGGAAGCCAGAGAGATGGAGTCTTGTTTGTGGAACAGCCAGGAGGCCAGTGTCACTGGATTGAAGAGTACATGGCAGGGAGTAAGGCAAGAGGGGGCTGGGTTATGGAAGGCTCTGAATGCCAAACAGAGCACTGTATTTGCTTGTGGAGGCTAAAGGAAGCCCCTGGAGATTCTTGAGTTGTTGTTCTGTCCTTTTGTGCTGTCAAGATTCTTCATGACCCCATTTGGAGTTTTCTTGGCAAAGATACTGGAGTGGTTTCTCCAGCTCATTTTACAGAGAAGAAACTAAGACAAATGGGTTAAGTGATTTTTCCAGGGTCAAACAGATAGTCTGAGGTAAAATTTGAACTCAGGTCTTCCTGACTGCAGGCTGAGTATTCACTACACCACCTAAATGCCTCTGATTCTTGAGCAGCCAGGGGATACGATCAGATTTTCACTTTAAGAAAATCATGTTAGTGGCTGAATAGAGGATAGACTGGAATGAGGAGACTTGAGAAAGGCAGAACCCCCAGCCACTATTGCAACAGTGCAGTTGTAAGGTGATAAGGACCTGAAACAGAGTGAAGGCAGTGTCAGAGGAGAAAAGGGGGCATATTTAAGAGACATGGCAAAGTTGAAATCAACAAACTTTGGGAAAAGCTTGGACGTGAGAAGTGAGAGAAAGTGAGGAGTACAAGAAGACTGCTGGGTTCAACATGTTGGGTTTAACGTATGTACTGGACATCCAGTTCAGTATTTCTAAAAAGCATATGGAGATGTGAGAATAGAGGACAGCAGGGAGTTTCAGTGCTCAGCCAGAGAATTAAAAGACAGAAGAAACTGGGGCAGGGCACTGGCATGTTTGTGGGGCTACAGCAGGCCTGAAGGAAAGAGGAACGGTACCTAGCTAGGGCCAGTTGTATCTCTGAGAAAGAAGTCACGTGGGAAGGGACTCGGGCCAGTGAAAAAGTGTATTTTCAAACATGGAAGAAGGCTGAGACAGCTTTGAGGTTCAGGCCCCAGGGCATAGCAAAAGGGAACTGTAAGGGAAAATGACTGAAATTACCAAAGATCTCAGGTGGAAGAATTTCAGTTAAAAACTTAGAGTACAAGCAGATAAATCATCAGACAAGTGATTAAAACAGAGGAGAAGATGGCCATCAAGATATCTAAATGAGTCCTAACATCTATTAGTAAATATTACAAGACAAAGGAAACTGAACCTTTACCTGATGAGGCAGGGAACCCTGCGAAATCCTAAGAGAACATGGAACCAAGCAAGATTTTCCCAAATGGTTCAAAAGAGAAATGAGAATCCTAAAAGCACAAGTTAAAAGGAAACAAATGGCAAAATTTATGGCCTGTAGAAGAGAAATAATTAACAGAATAAGAGAACCTGAATCCAAAAGGAAGAGTCTCCTCAAAGACAAAACAGAGGGTAACTAATTGGGAATACAACTACACTCAAGCAGAGAAGAGAAGCAAAATGAAATAAGGTTAAATGGACACATGATTTCTATACAGCTAAACAAACTGACAGAATGCACAGAAAAACTTAAGATCTTCCAGAAGAAAAGTCAAAAACTTGAAAGTTAAGCAACTTTTATGCCATCTGAATACTAAAATTTATTAATTCAAATATCTTAAGTCACCTTTAAAAGACAGCCAATTTGCTTCTTGCTATATTAGTACCAAGTATGTCTTTAATTCTCTTTAGGTATTAAGATAAGGAAAAACATGATAAATCATAAGCTATATTTATTTAAACTAAAGAGTATCCTTTAGATAAACTGCCATGGTTTGTCAAGAAAAATCAACATAGTCAAATGACTTGTTCTTTTGTGTGGTTACATTCAAACAGTTAGCTGAAGGAATGCACAAGTATCACATCACTTTCTACTCCCTCTCACACTTATATCAGAATTTGTTTTAGAAAGTACCATTTCTTTTGGACAAGGCAAATATCTGCTTCAAAGTAAGCCTTATACCCTCCACAACTGCTAAGTCTATGGTGCCTGCTGTGCAGTATTCTAAATCTGCAGTTAAAAATACAACCCAAAGGATTCCCTATCTTTTTTGACAACAATTACATAAAACCAAGCTGTTTCTCAACAATTAATTTTACACCTCTGAGAGCTTTTTTTTTAAATTTTGGTTAATTACTAAATTTGATCAGTAGTTTTCAGGCATGTAACCATCTTCACCTCTAACACAGAGTGACTGATCTAACTTTAAAGTGAAAGTACAAAGGAAGAATGTCAAAAGTCACACCAAAATATTTAGAAAACAAATCCTGCGGGCCCCTGGTCTGTTTATTGGGCAGTGATTCTAAGAAAGATAAACTAAGGTGGCCCTTTAAGAGGGCCAGAGCCTGTGAATTCTTAGGGGAAATTTTCTTAGAAGCTTGCTGCCCTGTGTGAACAGCAGTGGAGGGAAATCTTCAATACTCTTTATGAAGCAGCTTCGTACAGGCCACAGAACTTGTTGCCTTTCAAATTTTGAACCAGCATCATTAGGCTGACCTAGAGTATAAGAGGTGGGGATCAAAATTCTAATGAGGCAGTTGACCAGATACAATTAGGAAAGTGGTAGCCAGGGAAGGGAGTCACAGTCTAAAACAGAGGTGTCAAACTACTGGGCTGCACCAGATTAAAATGTAACTGGGAAATGCTTAACAAAACAAAATTGCAATACAATATAGATAATGTTAATTTGAGGTTTTCTAAATCAATACAGCACCTGCAGGGATTTATTTCTATTTGTGTTCAACAAAGCTAGTCTAGAAGATACTATGTACAGAAAGTACATGCTATGGGGTTAGAACAGAAAGAAATCAACATGAGGCTGGGGGGGGGGGGAATGTCTCCAGCTAATCAGATTTAAACATTCTGCATCCTTATTTTTCATCACCATATAAAAAAGGTTTCTACATCCACTGTTGATTTCTTCCTCCTTTTGCAAGTGTTGTGATTTGTCCATATTTTCTGAAGCTGGTCTTTCCTAGATTATGTCAATCAAGGAACTGACCCAAATTCCATGCTTTGGAGGCATGACGGTAAGCAATGACTCACAGAAGTACTAAAAGGAGGAAGCCCAACAAGTCATTTGTTGGTTCTGCACTGCCCTGAGGAAAACCCTACCTGAGGATTGACAATCGGATAAGAGGAAGCAGGAGTTCGGTATTTAGAGAAGCATCTTTCACCAACAATATAAAAAGCATTCTCAGCTTTAAAACACGCTATCTTGTTTGTTGTTGTTTGTTCTTTCTCCTTTTATTAATTTTTTCATAAATTCCCATGGGTGTCCATTTGGAGAAAGAATAAGAGAGGATAACTAGGCTGCGAGGGAAAGGAAGATACCTCAAATTTCTTTCTATTTCTTCTCTGGGCTTTTACACTATAATGGGACTGTCTATACAGGTTAAAAGCCTGCCACATAACCAGTTAAAGAAAATTATTGTAAATTTAGACTTTAGGCTTATTTGTTTTACTTGGAAATTATACTTAATCCTAAGCAAAAAACAGTCTTACCACAAGGTAGCATCTTTCGAAATGAACCAAAAAAAAATTAATTCACAACTCCACACATCCCTCTCTAACTGGTGCTGAAAACACAAAACAAACAAAAAAATCCTCTGTGTAGTCCTTTGTATACTCCCTCAGCTTACCAGCACTGAGACATCACAAATTTCAGCTTGACACATGTCACTCCTGACCAGATGTTACAACTATCACTCCTAACAATTTACCTTTGACACAGGGATTGCTTCGCTTATCTCAGCCCTAGGCCAGAACATCTCTCCTTTAGGTTTACATAAACCCTTCTTCCATTTCTGTAGGTATATTTGGGGCCTCCTCAACCAGAACTCTACATTCTTGGCTGTTTGTATTTGGATCCATCCTGCCACCTGGATCTATATACCTCTTAGATGCCTCACTTTCATACTTAATTCTAAATGTCTATAATTTCCAAGCTTAATTTTTATGGAGACAAAACAACTGTCACCTCAGGATTAACTCTCTTTTGACCACATCTGCTAACTTTTACAAAAACACAGTTTACAGCCAGCCTTGGAGACAGGAAGACTTGGATTCAAGTCCCTTCCTCTGAAACATAATGGCTGCGTGACCCTAGGCATGTTAACTTTACTTCTCAGGATCCCAAGTAAGACTCTAAGTTGCAGAAAAGGTGGTTGACCTTCATTGGCAGGAGTAACCTCACTGAGGAATTCACTTCTTGACTTACAGACAGGTCCATTTCCTAGGTTTACAAAATATCCCATGAAATAGGTAGTAAAAATGTTAATATTCCTACGTTACAAATGAGAATTTGAGTCTAATAATTTTATAAAAATCTTTATCTATTTATCGTATCTGATCCTCAAAACAATCCATTAGATAGAATTGCCATATAAGTATCATTGTCATCTGTTGTAACAAATGCTTACTGGTTACATTGGATTTTACAGATGAGGAAACTGAAGCTAAGAGGTTACAAGGGCAGCTAGTGGCAGCCCCCAGGAAAAACTTGTGTCCTCTTTTTCCAAAGACCCTTTCCATGACTTTTGGAGGCTGCCTTGTGGAGGGTCCCTGCACTAACTCCTTAAACTCTTCTCACCAGACTCTCCTTGCTGTTTCTCAGCAAACACCAAATATCACTAAGAAAACATTCTCCCAGGGTCCCTTTCTCTCTTACTCTATTTCTCCAACCTCCTTGACATCACGCCCCAAATTCCTTTCCCTTGCTCTAATTTCCAATTATGAGGTGGCCCTTTTCATAAAGGCCAAACCCTCTACTTCTACCTTTGATCCCAATTCCTCAGAAGGATTACACCAACAATCAGTATTTTCTCTCCGTAAATCTTAATCTCTCCTGGTTCAATGGCTCCTTCCTGCTGCCTACAAACATGCCTAGGTTTCCCTCTATTTAAAAATAATCCTCACTTTATCCAACTGTGTGTGTATGTGCATATATCTATATCTATATATATATATATATATATATAGATATAGATATAGATATATATATATATAGATATATATATAGATATATGCACATACACACACACACACACACACACACACACACACACACACACCCTCTCAGAGCCAAAATCCTGGGGAAAAAATGGCTACACCTCCAACTTGGATAATTATTTCTTTGGTCTCTTGACAAGCACGGGGAGCTACAGAAGAGTCGGCTAAGTGCAGTTGTAGAGAGGAACCCAGAAGGAGAGGTAGTGGAATAGTGCATTCCCTTAGAAGAAGAAAACAAAGGGATAAAATGTGTTTTAACAGAAGCAGAAGTGTTTTAACAGAGAGATAGTGACAGAGATGTTTAATGGGTTTCCTTTGGTAGTGAAGCAGATAATGGATATTTGAGGACAATGGTGTCATACTCAAGTAGAATCAGGGCCACTAATTGTACACAAGGATCCCTGTGGGCAACATACTGTCTTAGTTTTTTAAATATAATATTGTCTATGTTTATTAAATTTTTATTTATTTTGTTAAGTATCTCCCAATTACATTTTAGCCAGGTTTGGCTCAGGAGAGATGTGAGCTCTGCAGACAACACCTCTGTTTTAGGAGACAATTTTCTCCAAGCAAGGATGATGTGTCCCAGGTTTGCATTTCACTCCAGATAAATCCAGAGTAGAAGGAGAAACACAGATCCAGAGGTAGGCTATATTAGTCTTAGAAGGAATAAATGGTGACGGTAAGTGGAAGAGACTAAGACCAGGCCAAAATGACTCATGCTACAGAGATACTCCCGCACCATTCTCTCCTTCACTAACTGACAGTTATAGGAGTGAGGTATATAGTAGATGAAGATCCTATCAAAAAAAAAAGACCCAAAACTTCATGAAACAAAATAAAGAAAAGGAAAGGGAGGATGAAGGATGAAGAGAGATCTACAAATGAACTACAGGAATGAAGATCCTATTACCTACAGGAGAAAGACCTCAACTTTTACCTTCTCAAAAGGTTCCCCCCTACATAGATCACAAAGAGAATGCATACCACAAAGCTCTCCCTCTAGGAGGGGCATAGAGATGACAACAAAGGCACATGAAAATATATGGGCAGTGAATGAAAGAAAAAAATTCAGAATAGTTTAGAAGGGAGAGAAATAAGGGAGAAATATTGCTCAAGTTAAGATTGGGTGTGGGGAAAGGAGAAGCAGGGAGGATTTTTAATCACACTCTTATCTGGAGAGGAAAGGGTTAAAAGGAGGGAGACTGGGAATTATTATTTTTTTCTTTTTAAAGAAAGAATAACTGTTTAAGAAGACTGAAGGAACTTGAAATAGGATGGGTAAACAGGAAACATCTATGGGAAAACAAGGACCAAATTAATGCAATCAAAACTAATTACAGAGACAGGGTGCTAACTGAAAAGAGTAAAGAGAGAAAAATAGAAAATAAATAAATGGAGGAAAATGCAAACATTTATTAAATGTATACCACGAAATAGTATAGCATATAAGCCCAAAAAGAAAAGGCCAAAAGGCACAGAAATTAACAATAATTATAGGAGACTTCAATGTCACTGTTTCAGAGCTGGCAAAATATGACAACAAAAACAAACAGGAAACAAGAATAAACAGATCATTTAAAAAGTAAATTTTAAAAGACAATGGCATATCCTAAATGAGAATATTAAAGAAAATACATATTTCTTAGAGTCAGATGCCTTTTCAAAAATACTGTGCTAGAGTACAAATTGTAAATATTTGTAAAAAGGCAAAAACATTAAGTACGTCCTTCACAAATGTAAGAATGGAATAAAAATAAGGAAATATATAAACATGAGCAAAAGACAAGAGCCTCTCCAGCAAGGCAAGCAGTAGTGTGGCCAGAGAGGTGCTCATGTGTAGCCCATGACTCTCTACCCAGTGGAAGCAAGGGCAGGGGACTACCCTAAGAAATCTCTAGGGTGGTTAGAAAGTCAAAGGGTTGACAGAATTGTTGAGAGACTAGCCAAGATGGTAGTGAACAAGGAAGTTGTACTGCTTAGCTCCCCCTTATAACTACTCCACAAAGATCTAAAAAACATACCAGGCGAATCTTGACCAGTAATTCCAAGTAAGGGAAAAAAAAACAAAACAATCCACAACTGATCATTTTTTCAATTCCACATAGGAAAACAAGGAAGTCTCCAGACACTGAGGGCTGAGACTAACCAGGAACATGTTGCACAAAGCCTCCCGGCTCAGTACCTGTACAAGCTGTGTACACGGAAGAAGATCTCCCAAATTGAGCAGAAGGCTCTGAAGCTATGCCTTTGGGAATGGGGACAAATGCAAATTGATGGATCTGTTGCTCAGACCACAAAGCTGCAACAAAGACCAAAAGTATGGAATAAGAAAGGAACCTGTACTACATGTGGTGATCCAGGGCAAGGAGCCATTGCAGCCCCAGGCTATGTGATGGACAAGAAAGAGAAGCAGAAGAGTGGCAGCTGTGTGTCTCTGACTCTGGGAACAGTTCAGGTCTCCGTTCCAGTCTCCATCAAAATCTGAAGACTACAGAACAACCAGGGCAGAGAACTCAGAACAGGGACCATGCAGGTCTGTCCTCTGAACCTACAGAAGACTGCAACAGAGCTCCAACAAGGCGCAAGTATATAGTTTAACTACTCTAAAACAAATTCACATCAGGAGCTGGCAGAACTGAGACCAATACAACCTGGTTCAGACCATGATGAGTATCCTGAAAGCTTGCGAGTCCCCAACCTGACATGTCCCCGAGATGTTTCACTAAACCAATGCTCAGTATCCAGAGAAAGCAGAATCAGGCCTGAACAGGTCACAAAATAGGTCCAATCATAACCCATACATTTGCCCAGGAAGTGTGGTAAGCCTGTTCCTAATGCAAATTCCAAAATACAGACACAAAAGAATAAGCAAACAAAAAAAGAATCCCACTGTAAGAGCTATTGTGATAAAAGGGACACTGAAGATACAAACCCAAAAGAAAAGAATGATTCCAAAATTTCTACAAGGAAAAGCTTCAAAGACGAACACAGCCTGGGCACAAGTGTACTTAAAATTCCTGGAAGAATAAAACAAGAGTTTAAAATGACCAATTCAGCACAGGTAGACAGAGAGGTCTATGGACACTGGGGGTATAGTCTGGCCTAGATCATCCTGCATATAGCACTCCAATGAAAGGGAGAGACTGTGCATCAGGGCAAAAGAAGTTGTTCCAGACCCACAATAGGGCGCCACTACAGAAACAGATGCCAACTGGCAGCTCTGTCATCCACTGCCCAATTTCATGTCACAGATCCGGGGTGGAGTGAGGAGGGGACATGAACCCAGGGTTAGTTTTAAATTTTTTTTCTATTTTGCAAAAAAAAACCCAAAAACAAATCCTAGGCAGTAGACCCAGAGATGTGCAATTTCAGAAGCAAATTGTAGCAACTGTGGCAAAGACTCCATGGGTATAAGGAATCTCAATTCCAGCTTCTAGCCCCATCTGAAGCCTGCAAAGGAATAACTATGGCAGGAACCCCAGACCAAAAAAAAGGAAATCTGCAGTCCAGAAGAACATTACAGCAGGGGTTAAGTCTAGCCATCAGTCTACTATTGCTCAGATCCAAATTCTGGTTAGGAACTTGAACGCGAGTGAGGGGAAGGGGTTTGGAGAAGGGGAAGTGTCAAACCTCACGCTGGATCAGAACACTTTCGAAGCACTGGAAGCCTGCAGATTCCAAGCCTGAGTTGAGAATAACAAAACACTAAATACCCCACAAAAAAGCGGCAACAGACTCTGGAGGTATTTTGCTGACTGCACATGTATGGCCTGTATCCAGTTGCTTGCCTTCTCAATGAGGGTGGGTGACGAGGGAGGAAGGGAGAAAATTTGGAATCCAAAGCTTTAAAAACAAATGTTAAAAACTGTTTTCACATGCAATTGGGAAATAAGATATACAGGCACTGGGGTATAGAAATCTATCCTGCCCTACAGGAAAATAGAAGGGGAAGGGGATAAGAAAAGGTGGAGGAGATAGAAGGGCAGATTAAGGGAAGGGATATTCAGAATGCATGCCGTCTTGGGGTGGGGGAAGGGATGAGATAGGGGGTAGAATTTGGAACTCAAAATCTTATGGAAGTGAATGTTAAAAACTAAAAATAAATTAATACATTTCAAAAAATATTAAACTTTTTTTATTTAGGGTTTTGAGTTCTGAATTTTATCCCTCCTTCCTCTTCCCCCTTTCCTGAGACGGTAAGCAATCAGATATGGATTGTATATAGGCGGTTATGTAAAATATTTCCCTATTAACAATTTTGTACAAGAAGACTCAAATAAAAGAAAAAAATTTTTTTTTAATTATTAGAATCTCTTTAAAAAAAAAGGCAGCAACAGGAACAGCTGAGACATTCCCTAAAGAAGTACACAAAACTCAGCCCTAATTTCAAGTCCACTCCCAAAGAGATCAAAGAAAAAGAAAAATGATACATATGTACAAAAATATTTATAGCAGCTTTTTTTGTGGTACCACAGATTTGAAACTAAGGGGATACCCATCAATTGGGGAATGGCTCAGCAAGTTTCAGTTTATGAATGTGATGGAATACTAGTGTGCTTTAAGAAATGCTGAAGGGGACGGTTTCAGAGAAATCTGGGAATTCCCATGTTCACTTACGCCAACAATTTACATGAGGATAACAATGTGGTAAAGACAAACAGCTCTGAACAAATCAGAGACTCTGAGCAAGCACAATGATCAGCCAGATTCCACAGGACTAATGATGAAGCAGATTCTGCTGACTGGAAAAAAGCATGTATACCTTTTTGGAAAACAGAATCCTCTTTCGTATTCTGCTGTGTATTCTTGGGTGGGGGGGTGTTTATTTTGAGGGCGAAAAATTTTTTAAAGTAGAGATCTTAAATTATCCAACATCAGAAAGAGAAATTTAAAAAGTCATCAATCAGCTATCAACTGGGAGAAAAAAATCTGGTCCAAATGGATTCATAGGTGACTTCAATCAAGAAAAGACTTTAAGAACAATTAATATGTTATAAAAAGTGTTCTCAATAACTGATAAAGAAAATATTTTTGGGGGGCAGCTAGGTGGCGCAATAGATAGAGCACTGGCCCTGTAGTCAGGAGGACCTGAGTTCAAATCCAACCTCAGACACATAACACTCACTAGCTGTGTGACCCTGGGCAAGTCACTTAACCCCATTGCCTAGCCAAAAAAAAAAAAACACAAAACAAACTATATATATATATATATTATATATAATATATATATATATATATATATATATATATATATATATATAGCCAAACTCCGACTACAGCAGATAAAGAGACCTCATTTTTTTAAACCAAATATGCTAATGAATGTTGATGAAAAAATTTTCAAATCCCAGGAAAAAGACTACAACAATATATACAAAACTTAGCTACTATGACCAAGATCTAATTGTACCAGGGATACAAGGAAACACCAACATTAAGAAAACAAGTGACATAATCGTGTAAAAACACATTATACCAATAGCTGCAGAAAAAGTCTTTAATAACACATGACACACACCAAAAACCCAAACAAACATAGACACGAAAGGATCCTTTTTACTTTGCTTTTTTAAAAAGCTTATTTAAAAACCGCCTGCCTGTACTACTCACAATTGAGAAATACTGGCTTCCCCCATACACATATAACAAAACCTCTCCTCTCTAACGGTCTGTTGCTGCTGTTCCGTTGTTCCAGTTGTGTAGAATCTTCTTGGCCCCATCTGGAGTTTTCTTGGCACGCACACTGGAGCGGTTTGCCATTCCCTTCTTTAGTTCATTTTACAGATGAAGAAACTAAGGCAAACAGAGTTAGGTGACTTGGCCCAGGTTACACAGCTAGTAGTGTCTGAGGTCAGATCCAAACTCAGCTCTTCCTGACTCCAGACACGTGATCTATCCACTGCGTCATCACCTAGCTCCCCCTCTCACTAATGAACAAAGTCCTGAAAGTACAAGAGCTAGCAATAAGACAAGAAGAAGCAATTAAAGATAAACACTGTCAAAGCAGAAACAAAAATAATTTTATTAGTGGATAATGATTTGTTTACTTTGAAAACCCAAGAGAATCAGAAAAAAAAAACCTAACTGAAATTATTAGTAACTTTAATAAAGGAACAGGACACAAAATAAATTCCATTCAGATGTTCAACATTCTGCATTTATTATATAGCAATAACAAAAACTAGGAAGGGATGATAGAAAAACCCTACTGATAATAACAAGATGCATTAAATATCAAAAGTTTGTCTAACAAGACATACCCAAGATTTGTGTAAATATGGTCACAAAGCAAATATTGAAGAAAATAAAGGAAGAACTAAATAACTGGAATGATCTAATAATTGTTCACCCACACCAATATGATAAATATGATACAACATAAGTAAATTTATATGTTTAGTACCACACCAATCAAGCTACCAAGAACTAGACTAAATAATAAAATTCATTTGGATCAACAAAAGATCTAGATTCTCAAAGGAAGTAATAAAAACAGTAGGAATGAAGGGGATATGACACTTTCTGACTTCAAGGTTTATAAAACTTTATAAAGCTTTCAGTACCAAAAATTATTTTGTACTCATTAAAAAAACAGAAAAGCAGACCAGTAGAACAGCCTAAATAAGAAAAAGTTCAAAACAAGCTTAGTAAGGCAGGCTTCAATGAACCCAAGTACTTGGAAAACTGGAAAACAATGTGTTAGGGACTGGTTTTCAGCCAACATCATACTCTGCATAAAATAATAAGCACCAAATAAATAAAGGATCAATACTGAAATGCACCGATGACCTCATCACCTAGGATACTCCTTGGCAAGAATACAGAGCACCGCTTATCCCTGCTTACCTGTCCTAGGTGACTCTTGTCCACGTCCACCCATAATTCACGACAAGGAAAACAGCCCACTCACTGGGGGCTACTCAATCTCTCCTGGTCTAACAAAGACACTAGCAGACATAAGAACACACATGCCATGCACTTGTTGTCCCATCTTCCTTTATGAGGCTGAGGTAGAAAGAAATTTCACAATTTCCCAAAAGAAATGTACCCTTTTCTCCTCTCCATTCAGTTCTGGTTCCAACTTGATCATTCTCACTGAACTGACAGTTGCACTCTATGGGTGGCCCATTAAAAATATTACATGATGGACAATGAAGCTCCCTTTCCACAAATTTTCTCCTAGTCAAGCCTCAAAGTTATTCAAGATTCCTTGAAAATTATGACGTAGAAGCTAACATTATTTGACGATCCTCTAATAAAAAACATCAGACAAGGCATGAAACAAGGAGATGTGTTTGCTAAAAATATTCATCTCTGTCACTAAGGAGACACCACAGAATGTAAGGAATAGGATTCCTTCCAGATGGTGAGATTCTGTTGGAGGATGACAAGAGGCTGATTGCAGAGACTTTTGCAAGAGAACTGATCCCTCAGTTTGGTCTAACCATCCAATTAAGAAAAATCAAATGGATGAAGAATAAAAGTCAATTGATGGGGCAGCTAGGTGGCACAGTGGATAGAGCTCTGGACTTG